CATATGGTTTCACTCGTATGTGGAACATAAGGAATAGTGCAGAGGACCATAGGGGAAGAGAGGGAAAACTGAATGGGAAGAAATCATTGAGGGAGACAAACCATATGAGACTCTTGACTCTCAGAAACTGAGAGTTGCTGGAGGGAAGGTGGGTGGAGAGGATGGGGTAACCAGTTGATGGGAATTAAAGAGGGCTCATGATATCATGTGTACTGGGTATTTTATTCAACTAATGAATCTTTGAACATTATATCAAAAACTAATGATGTACTATACCTTGGCTAATTGAGGTTAAATAAAAAAAATTAAAATGGGCAGGAGACATGTACAGTCATTTCTCTATAGAAGACATGTAGATTGCCAACAGACACATTAGAACATATTCAACATTACCCATCATCAGGGAAATGCAAATCAGAATCACAATGAGATATCACCTCACCCCTGTCAGAATGGCTAATATCAAAACCTCAAGATACATCAAATATTGGTGAAGATGTGTAGAAAATGGAACCCTGGTGCCCTCACTGTTGATGGGAATGCAAACTGGTGCAGCCACTGTGGAAGACAGTATTGCTGTTCCTCAAAATATTAAAAAGTAGAACTACTGTATGATCCAGGAATCACACTACTGGGTATTTTAACCAAAGAATACAAAAACAGGAATTTAAAGGGATATGAGAACCTCTATGTTTATTGTAGCATTATTTATAATAGCCAAACTATGGAAGCATCCCAAATGTCCATTGATAAAGAAGATGTTATATATATAGAGAGATATATCTACAAATAGATATATCTATCTATATATAATATATATAATATATATGATATATACATATATTATATAACATAGATTATATATAATATATATACATATGTGTTATATATTCATATGTGTTACATATATATGTATGTATATTATATAATACATGTTATGTATATATGTATTTTACATATATATGTATATATTACATAATATATGTTACATATATGTTATATATAAATATATATATAATATATTATTCAGCCATAAAAAAGAACAAAATCTTTCCATTTACAACAATGTGGATGGATATAGAGACTCTAATGCTAAGCAAAATAAGGCAGGCAGAGACAGTTACTGTATGATTTCACTCACATGTGGAATTTAAGAAACAAAACGAACAGGGACATCTGGGTGGCTCAGTCAGTTAAGTAGGAGCCTTCAGCTCAGGTCTTCATCCCAGGACCCTGTGTTCAGACCCATGTCAGGCTCTACTCAGTGGGGAGCCTGCCTCTCCCTCTCCCTCTGCCTCTTCCCTCCACTTGTGCTCTCTCTCTCAAATCAATCTTTAAAAAAAGAAAAAAGAGAAAGAGAGAGAGACAAACCAAGAAACAGACTCTTACCTTTAGAGAGCAAACAGTTGGTTACCAGAGGTGAGGTGGGTGGGAAGATGGGTGAAATGGTTGAAGGGGATTAATAGTACACTTATCTTAAGATGGGCCACATGTATCCCAATGTTCATAGCAGCAATACCCACAATAGCCAAACTATGGAAAGAACTGAGATGCCCTTCAGCAGACAAATGGATAAAGAAGATGTGATCCATATACACAGTGGAGTATTACTCAGCCATCAAAAAGAATGAATACCCAAGTTTGCATCAACATGGATGGGACTGGAGGAGATTATGCTAAGTGAAATAAGTTAAACCGAGAAAGTAAATTATCGTATGATTTCACTTATTTGTGAAACATAAGGAATAGCATGGAGGGCATTAGGAGAAGGAAGGGAAAAATGAAGGGGGAGAAATCAGAGTAGGAGATGAACCATGAGAGATTATGGACTCTGGGAAACAAACTGAGGGTTTTAGAGGGGAGGCGGGTGGGGTAAGCCTGATGAGCCTCCTTAATGGAGGGCATGGATTGCATGGAGCACAGGGTGTTATAGGCAAACATGAATCATAAAACACTACATCAGAAAATAATGATGTGCTGTATGGTGACTAACATAATGTAAAAAAATGCAAATTAAAATTTAAGAAAAGAATGCACTTATCTTGATGGGCACTGAGTAATATATGGTATATCAACATTTTGTAACAGTGTATATTAACTACACTGGAGTTAAAATTTAAAGAAAGGAAAAGGAAAAAAAAAAGCAATAGGTTTCCTTTTTATCCAAAAACAACCATTTAGAAACCATAATGGAGATGATTCTATTTATTTATTTATTTATTTATTTATTTATTTTACTTATTTTATTTAAATTCATTTAGTTAATATATAGTATACCATTAGTTTCAGATATAGAGTTTAATTATTTAATTAATGTAGAGTTTAATTATTCATCTGTTGCGTATAACACCCAGTGCTCATTACATCAAGTGCCGTCATTAATGCCTATCACCCATTTACCCCATCTCCCCACCCACCTCCTTTCCAACAACCATCAGTTTTTTCCCATAGTCTCTTATGGTTTGTCTCTTTATTTTATTTTATTTTATTTTTCCCTCCCTTCCTCTATGATATATGAGTAAAACCATATGATAATTGCCTTTCTCTGATTGACTTATTTCACTTAGCATAATACCGCCCAGTTCCACCCATGTCATTGTAAATGGTATGATTTCATCCTTTTTGATGGCTAGGCAATATTCCGTTGTCTATATTTACTACATATTCTTACCCACTCATCTGTCAATGGACATCTGGGTTCTTTTCATAGTTTGGGTTGTGGACATTGATGCTATAAACATTGGGGTGCAGGTGCCCCTTCGGGTCACTAAATTTGTATCCTTTGGGTAAATACCTAGTAGTGCAATTGCTGGGTTTTAGAGTAGCTCTTTTTTTTTTTTTTTTTAACTTTTTGAGGAAACTCCATACTGTTTTCCAGAGAGGCTGCACAACCTTGCATTCCCACTAACAGTGTAAGACATTTCCCCTTTCTCTGTATCCTTGCTAACATTTCTTGTTTCCTGACTTGTTAATTTTAACAATTCTGCCTGGTGTGAGGTGGTATCTCTTTGTGGTTTTGATTTGTTTTTCCCTGATGTCAAGCAATATTGAACATTTTTTGTGTGTAGGGATGATTCTATTTATAATGCTAGAGTAGCATATTTAACAAAAAATACTTTTAATGAAGAAAAACATAGTTTACTGAGGGATATAGATGAATAGTGAAGAAATAGAAATTTATATTTTTGGTTTTGAAGGTTCAGTATTATAAATATTTCAGTTTTCAGTATCTTCCAAATTGATATATAGATTTAAAGGAGTTTATTTCTAGATATAAACAGAATTATTTTTGAGTTTGACAGAATTATCAGGAAGACAAAAGATAAATTGAGATAAGAACCTGGTTACAATACAAAAGAATGATAAGGATTTGGTGGTTCAAAGATAATGTGTAATGTTACACTATAATAACTAAAGGAATGTGGTTCTGGACTTAGTGCTGAATAAAAAATCCGAGACAGATTCAAAGGAATGTAATAATTTAGTATATTACAGTTTTAGTTGTTGAAACTTTTTTATAGAAAGACAAACAGTCACAAAAAATAAACTGCTATGAATAAGTAGTTCTCATGCAGTAGTTTGTGACATATATCAAAATAAGTTGCAGAATGATTTAAGATCCAAAATTAATAAATGGAGTATGAAAATGTTATAGAAGAAACTCTGGGTAACAGTCATGGTCTTGGCTAGAGCAAGATTTTCTAAGCATCATACTGCAAAGGAATATTGCAATATATTTGGCTATTATTAATTTAAAACTTTTGTATGATAAAAGATTTGTGAGATATAAAGATAAATGCAAATTCTTAACAGAATGTTTTATATGAAGATCTTCTACAAATCTATAAGAAATATGAATGCCCTTCCACCAAATATTCCCCCAAATAGATACAAACAGGCAGGTCATAACTTAGAAACACATAAGGGCAATAAATGCACATGAATATATTCAGCCTCACTAGTTATCAGATAAATGCAACTTTAAAATAACAGTGCAATAGATTTTTTTTTTACCTGCCATTTCAGTAAAAATTTTTGGAACAGAAATATCTAATATTTGTGGCTAAATGCTGAAATAAGTAATCTTTTATATAATTCTATTACCATGAATTAATACTAATCTAGAAAATATATAACAAAAGTTTTGGGACAACATAGGCTTTTCAGTGAATCATTGCAGTTACTAAAGTTTATCATAAAGAAGAAAAGAATGTACAGAGATTTTGTACAGGTATGTATAATATAAAAGATTTTAATACCAATATTTTAAAATTACCAATATGTCCCTAGTAGGAAATTTGCAAAATAAAAGTATACTATTAAATGTACTTCTATTAGCTATTCAGATTTAGATGTACATTTATTGTTATTGGAACATATCTATGACTTTATTTAATAAAAAGCATATCATGTATGTATAGTAGGATAGTAGAGATAAAAATTTTAAAAATACATATATGCACTGATTATATTTAGAAATAATGAGAAAGGATATATATCAAATGTTAACAGTGAGTTTTCTGTTTGTGGTGAGATTATTTGTGAACTTTATTTTTGTTGATCTAAATAAAAAAATATTAAAAGTGGCATTTAAAGACCTTATGTTCTGGAGAAATAAATTATTTTCCACATTTTCTTTTATTATTTGATATTATACATATTATTTACCCTGGTTGCATTCTGTCCCCTTTTCTGATGTATATCTTTTATTCACTTTTATTATGCCTCTATAATAATTAGAGTTTTAAAAAAATAATAGGGGATATTCCTGGGATATAAAAATAGCCCTCAAAGTGAAAAGCATTTCTTCACTGTTTTTAATTTTAATCTATGGATTAAACTTTGGATTATATCAGTGGTTTAATTTAGCTTCCTCCAATTTAGTCAAAATAAAGTTGAGAAGTAATGTGGACATGAACATATTCTTGTTCTTGAAAGTTGTAATATTGACAAAAAAGTCACACATAAATCTTGATAAATCATTACTTTTTTAAAAATAGGAAGCTGAAAGAGCTAAGCATCAACTTGACTATTTCCTAAATCAAGGGAAAGAATCACTTAAAAGTGAAGGGAAGACCAAGACAAAAATGGAAATGGGTATTAGTAAAATAAAAGTTGAAGATTCCAAAGACATGCCATTGGAGAGAGGAACAAAGAAATCAGTAGTTACAGATTCAGGTGGACAAAAGACGAGTTCTAAACTCCAAGAACATCTACAGGTAAGGAAATTACTGAAATAGAGAAAACAGTAGAGGACAGAAAAACAGTGATCTTTGCTGTAAGATTATCTTTTATATTGTTGTTTACTTCATTTGTATATATTATTTTAAAAAAATTTCTATGCCCTGTTTCTTTGCTTAGACCTTTTGCCTTACTAAAGGTAACTTTAGTTATAGCAATTCATTTTCTTCAATACAAATTTATAAATTAGATATGTATTGGTTTTGAATGATGATATAAACACCTGAGATTTGAGAGCTAGAAAAAATAGGAGTTCCTAGACCAAAGATATTTTGCTATAAATTAACAAAATTAAATATAAATGCAAAACCATGGGAAAACATTTTCAAATTTATTTTTTTACTTAGTGCGGTTGACACACAATGTATTAGTTTCTCGTGTACAACATAGAGATCTGTTAAGTATGTATGTTATGCTTTGCTCACTACAAGGGTAGCTATTATATGTGAGGAAAAATTCTTGAAAAAATGTGTTTTTGTTTGTGTTATGCAGTGGGTTCAGAAGCTCTTTCTTCAACTTTCAGATTTATTAATCTGTGCCTTAGAAGAAAATAACAGTGTATACATAAGCAACTTTATTGACAAGTAATGGGAAGAGTTCAAGAAGTAACGCAAAATAGTTGCGAATATTATTTTGCTTGTCCTTGTTCTAGCAAGATAGCTCTTATCAGGTCTCTTATTTCTTTAAAAGTATTTTATATTCTTTAGTATCCTTCCTTCTTGTTTTCAGGATAAGAGTTTGTAGTAGAGATAGCATAGTAAACTAGCATATAGGAAAATAATAATAAAGTAAAATTAAAAGCCAGTACCCTAACTTTTTAAAGGAGACTCACTACCCAGTAATTTTTTCCTTATTTTAATCTGTTTTTTTAATATAATTTTTTGTTTTTATTTAAATTCCAGTTAACATACAGTGTAATGTTGATTTCAGGCATACAATTTAGTGATTCAACTCTTACATGTAACACCTGGTGCTCATCACAAGCACGCTCCTTAATCCCCAACACATATTTAACCCATTATATATAATTTTAATTGCAAATTGTGTCAGTTTCTTCTTGAAAAGATAAAAAATGAAAAAATTGCTCTTGGTGAAAAGGAAATTATTAAGGTTATTATAAGGGTCTTTTTGTTTTTTGTGCTAGATTGAATACAAAAGCAAAGTTTTAGGAAATGTAGGTTTCTGTGAACTAGCTTAAGGCAAAGATAACGTGTGGCAGCACAATTTAAAATGTGCTGGTCACTTTATATCCTCTATCATTATAAAATATGCTGGTGATTTTATGTATATGTGCTAGTCATATACACAACAAGTAATAGGTGCTAATCATTTACACAGTAAGAAATAAGTAAGATAGCTATCAGCACCACGATTTCTGAAGATGAAACTGGAGCCTAAAAAATTAACTATGCAACATCATAGTAATGTTGAATTAGACTTCAGACTGAGGTCTTTCTGGCTTCAAAATCATGTCAGGATATCTTCCTTGCTTTTCTGTGTGGCTGCATTTGAAACCTAACTTTGTTAATAGGCTTAGTGTTTTTTGTTTCCCAGGATTTTTCCCCTAAATCCAAAATGAGGCTGTTATATATGACAAGTTAAATAGAAAACATTAAGTTAAAAAGTAAGATGAATTTGGGGGTGCCTGGATGGCTCAGTGGGTTACGCCTCTGCCTTTAGCTTGGGTCATGATCTTGGGATCCTGGGGTCGAGTCCCATATCGGGCGCTCTGCACAGTGGGGAGCCTGCTTCCCCCTTTCCTTCTGCCTGCCTCTCTGCCTCCTTGTGATCTCTCTCTCTCTGCCAAATAAATAAATAAATAAATAATCTTTAAAAAAATAAATAAAGAGTAAGATGAATTTGAAAGAGCAACTTCATTACCCAAAGCATTTTACCAGGTAACTTTGTCATCTTCAACCTGGGCAAGTGATTTTTGGTTTTAGTGGTTTTATAAATGGATTAACACACATCTCTCTTCTTATTTATTCAGTTTAACAATCCTTATTAAATACTAGGTGCTTTGCATGGATGGGCTATATAATATCATTTATTTAGATTGGCCTGCTCTGGCGATAATGAAACAGAAATCATTACTGAAGTCTTTGATGGACTAGAAGTTGTTCATACTCACTGTCTCCATGTTCTTATTATAATTCTTCATTTAACTGTAATCTTTTTTCCCCAACCATTATATTAAAACTGTTTTTGCCAAGGTCACAACAAATCTACTTGATCTTATTCTGAAGGATGCTTTATACTCTTATCCCACTTATCCTCTTAGTAGTATTTGATCATGTTTGATGATTTTTTTTTTAAGAATTTATTTATTTATTTGAGAGAGAGAGAGAGAGAAAGAGAAAGAGAGCAGAAGCAGGGGAAGGGGCAGATGGAGAAGGAGAAGCAGACTCCTCACTGAGCAGGGAGCCTAATGTGGGACTGAATCCCAGGACCCCGGGATCATCACCTGTTCAGAAGGCAGATGCTTAACTGACTGAGCCACCCAGACACCGCAAACCATTTCTTTTTTTCTTTTCTTTTCTTTTCTTTACTTTACTTTTCTTTTCTTTTCTTTTTTCTTTTCTTTTCTATTGCTTTTTCCTTTCTTTTTTCTTTTTCTTTTCTTTATTTGTTTATTTACTTATTTGAAGAGCAAGCACAAACAGGGGGAGTGGCAGGCAAAGGGAGAGGGAGAAGCAAGTTCTTTGCTGAGCAAGGAGCCTGATGTGGAGCTTGATCCCAGAACCCTGGGATCATGACATGAGCCAAAGGCAGAGGCTTAACCCACTGAGCCTCCCAGGCTCCCCCTGACCATTTATTTCTTTTTAATGTAGTCTGCATTTTGATTTAGAGACAGAATAATTATTTTGTTCCCTATATATTTTTCTGGTACTGTGTTTTGGTCTTCTCTTGTGCTGTCCATTCTTTAACTGTTGGTGTTTCTCTGAGTTTTCTCTTTCGGAGCATGCTTATGTACCTTTATGGCTTTCAGTGCCAAATAAATCTTATATCTCTAACCCAGATATCACCTGATTTACAGACCTATTATCTTTCAAACAACTGAATTTACCTACTAGAATGGTCCACAGCATCTATAATTCATCATGTCCTAAAATGAACTAATTGCTTTCTTTTTAGACTGCTTCTTCTAGTAGTCACAATTTCCTGGCATCCTCATATACCTGATTGGTGAAACTAAAATCTTGGGAATCACTTTTGTCTCTTTTGTTTTTTTTCTCAATCCAATTATTAGCCATAAAATTTTGCCCATTTTTTTCAGTTTCACTGGTCCCAGATGCCACCAGGATTCTAAATGCTGTCCTTTTGTCCAGAATTTTCTGTCTTTAATCCAGTCTCCATGTTGATGTCTAGTCATCTTTCATATTGAAATCTGTTCATGTTAACCTTCTTGCCCTAAAATCTTTAATGGTTCCCATTATTCTTTGGTTGAAGTACAAATTCCTAATAATGGGTTAAGGTTGTGTCAGGTCTGGTCCTTTCTTGAGATGCCAGCTTCATTTTTAATTAGCCTTCCCCCCTACCCATTCATCACACATGACTTTGTAAGCGCAAGTGTGTGCACACACACACAAACATATATTTATGCTTTAGCTACGCTGAACTTCTTCAAGTTCATGAAACACACTGTTTTCTGTCACCTTCATGATTTTGCATAATTTGTTCTCTTTGCTTTCAACACTTTTCTCCCTCTCTTGTTTCTTAAAATTCATCTGGTTAAAAAATGAATGAAGAACAAAAAGTGCTGTTATCTTTGTTTTTTTTTTTTAAGGTTTTATTTATTTATTTGACAGACAGAGATCACAGGCAGGCAGAGAGGCAGTCAGAGAGAGAGGAAGGGAAGCAGGCTCCCTGGTGAACAGAGAGTCCGATGTGGGGCTCGATCCCAGGACCCTAGGACCATGACCTGAGCTGAAGGCAGAGGCTTTAAACCACTGAGCCACCCAGGTGCCCCTGCTTTATCTTTTGGTATGTAATAAATTACTCCAAAACTTAGGGGCTTAGACAACAAACATGTATTATTTCACAGTATCTGTGAGTCAGAAATCCAAAAAGAAGGCTTAGCTAGGTCCTCTAGTTCATGGTCTTTCACAAAGTTGCAATCAAACAGTTATCAAAGAAAAGTCAGAGCTGGGAAGTCAAGTGTAAAAACAGTTTTTATTTAAATCCATTGCAGTAGGAAAAAAGAGACCTCAGTATAAAACTGTGTTCAATTCCTAATACACCATGGGGAAGTAGAAATTTATAGCCAAAGAGTAGGTTGATGGTCAATGAAAAATTACTAAGAGGCAACATTGGGGGTGAAAGGGAGATTCTTGCTGAACTGCCCTAATAGGATCTTTGCCGATGATAGGCAAGAGTGAGCATCTATAGGGGTACCTGTGTGGCTCAGTTAAGTGAATGTCTTTGGCTTAGGTCATGATCCCAGGATCCTAGGATTTAGCCCTGTGTCAGGCTCCCTGCTCAGTAGGAGCCTGCCTCTCCCTCTCCCACTCCTTCTGCTGTGCTCTCTCTCTCTCTCTCTCTCTCTGTGTCAAATAAATAAATAAAATCTTTTTTTTTTTTAAAGGGTGATCAGCTATCACCTGGGGGAAGGAAGATCAATCATGGAGAATGGGGCACTGTTGCTAAATTGACTTATCAGGGCTCTTACTAAACCTGGATTTTAAAAGGAAGTGCCCAGATGGACTTAGGAGAAGTTTCAAGAACCTAAAAGTTTGGTCAAGCAAAGAATCTTTATCAACCCCCTATCATGTTCAAAGAAAGAAGTGATGTTCTTTCTTTTGAACAAATAAGTCCATTTCTTATTTGGTCACTTTTTGTTCATTATGGACTAGCTGAATCATCTGTTGAGAGTTGGTGGTAGAGGCTATTTGCTTGGTGGTGCTAGAAGTCAAGCAAGTAATGGCAAAAGTTTCTATGAAAGCAAAAACAAAGATTAATAGTTAAAAACTCAGTTTCTGAATCTAGAGGGAGGCCAGTCAAGAAGATTTCTAGATATTGGGTTAGGTGATGGAGTGAGGACAGCAATATAATCCTGCAGTGGATTTCTTGGTGTGATTTGAATATCTGTGGAGATGGCATTGGGTATTCCAGTGAACTTTCTAAGAGGCCCACACATCAGCAGGCAATACGGCTGCCCATTCATGATCTGTCATGAATCTGTCATGGTGATTTTCTTGAAGTTTGTGTCAAGTCTTCCATCTTCAGCTTGGAGATCTTCAGGGAAAGGGCAGTTCTTGTTCTCAGTGATTTCAAGTCAAAAGGCAGAAAAATTGAAACATTAACTTGAAAAGTTGTAGCCAGGTAGAGGAAACTAGAGTTCTGGATTTAGTGTAGTTCATAGGTGGATAATAAAGACTTAAAAACAATAGGACTAAAATTAAACACCCACAATGGTATGTTTTTCATTTAAACATAATTTATCTGTGATCCCTACCAGTTCTAGCAAAGATAAAGTAAGAAAGATTCATTTGCAATATAAATCATCTCATTAAAATTGACTTGATCATTTATACAAGTGCAGCAAGAATAGTAACTGACCACATAGGTCATTTGTGTTTGCTTTGCTGGAATTTTTCATAAGAAATTGCAGGTTGGACTTTTAGAAACCTCTTGAGGCTAGGAAGCCAAGCCAAGGATTCTCAATCAGGCTTCCGAGGCAGTATCTATAGACTTGGATGAATTCCTCTTTTCTAGGTATCTTGATATTCTGAGATTCCTGAGCCTGCCAGGAAGTGGCTTTCCTTGCTCATCTGTATGGTCAGAAACAATATAAGAAAGATACTGGGCAGATTTTTGAAGGAGGCTTTATTGGCTCCATAAAATCAACCTTAGTTCCTTAAGGCAGCCTGGCCATATCTGATTTTATACATCATTCTCAAGTGTGACCCTCCAGTCAAATTCTTGGTAATATAACCAATGTTTCCAATTGTGTTCTGTTTCAAAGAGAACAGATTCTTATTTTATTTATGCAAATAACTATATTGCCATGGAAATAAGAATACTAAAAAGAGTTTCCAAATTTAGAGGGTTCAGATTAGAGAGAAAAAGTAATTTAATTTTGTTCCCAAAGTATACTTTATCAAATTGCTACAAGTTATAGATAGCTTAAGACAATAGAGAATAATATTTCCTTAAATCTGAAAAAAAAATCAGGAAGCAGCTATGTTTCAGAGGGTCATTGAAAAAATTAATCATCCTCATCAGTTTATTTAGTCCTTTCTAATTAGTTCAGTTCTTGTTGTACTTGATCTTGTGTTAGGAGTTTTATGAATCTGTTAGTTTCTTTATTAGTTACTGAAATTCTTATTAGTCCAGTAGCATGGTCTCAAAGTCACTCAAGTGGTACCATCATGGTGCATTCTCACCTGTGGCTGATTATAAACACTTTCAGAAAAGAATCAAAATAGGATCACAGTTTATTTAGTTATTTAACAAATGTAACAATAAAATATTTCAAAGGTAAATATAGAAGGTTACATGATTGTTAAAAAAAAAAACCCTTAGCTTTTCAATATTGAGATTTGATTTTCTTAAGTAATTCAATACTTGATAAGGACAATATGAAGTACAGGAAATTATTTTGATACAACACGGATTATTGTTTTTTAGGCAGATTGCTTCTTTTTTGCTTTGATTTTTTTTCTATTTTTAAAGATTTTATTTATTTATTTTACAGAAAAAGAGAGATCACAAGTAGGCAGAGAGGCAGAAGGGGGAGGGGGAAGCAGGCTCCCTGCTGAGCACAGAGCCCAGTGTGGGACCCAGGACCCTGAGATCATGACATTAGTCGAAGGCAGAGGCTTAATCCACTGAGCCACCCAGGCGCCCCTTGATATGTAATCTCATGGAGGTGTGGACTAAGTTTTAGGTGAGTGACCAAGAAGATGTCTAGTGGTTATCTGCCTCATCAAGTGAACAGAATGCTAATTAAAAAAAAAAAAAGATTTTTTTTTTTTTTTCCAAATAACATCTTTCATTTCAGTCTGAAATGGTTGCTTTTGGGGCTCTGAGTCTCTTGAGGTCTCTTCATAGGGAGTATGGGGGTTTAATGTTTAAGTGATTATAGGGAACTGAGGGGCTCAAGTGGGAAAGGGAAAGTCTGGCAGGGTAGGCAGAAGGATGAGGGAGGTTAGTGGTTAAGGAGGGACATACCAAAGGATTCAAGAGAACCTTACTAGAGATTGAAGGTGATAAAAAGAGGAAGGAGAAGCATTAGTAATGGGAAGAGAGAGGTTTCAAAGGTTTTTAGTCAATTGAGAAGCTCCCATGTTCTTAACTAATGGTACCTTTATACTTAAACAGAAAACCTAGGACTCAAGCATAGCTTATGTTCTTTAGAGATTAGCCTCTTACAAATAGAAAAGCCTGGAAATCTAATCCAGCCTCCGTTTATCTGAGACTCTAACCAGATTCTGGAGTATACTCAGAATCTTAAGAATAAAAATCTGTCCCTACTAGCTTCAGTGGACATTTGCATGGAACAGTGGTTTAGGAGTTGAACTCACCAATGAATTCTCAATCAATCAGCCAAGAGTGAAAACAAAGGCTTAAAAAATGTGCAAAAATTGAGGTCCTGGGTGGGTGTTCTGGAGTCTGGTGAAGAATCTAATCTTATCTGAGTCACAGAACTATAATTGTTAAAGAAAAACAAGAGTTGGGCAGTAGTTGAAGTCATAAAATCAGATTTTCAGTGTCAATGTTGGCCTTGGCTGCATTTGTCTCAACACCTTACTGGAGGAGGATATACTTCTGGGCTCAGTATATACTCATATAACTCTTGTTGGGCCTCGGATATTTGCTGGATATTGCTTGGAGACATCAGTTCCTTGCCAGGGAGGCCTTTCCATAAAGCCACTTACAACATGGAAGCAAGGGCAGAAACAGGGAGAAAAGGAGGGAAAGCAGCAGGGAGGGAGGGAAGAAGCTAGAATCTACTCTCAGAAGTGATATCCTTTCACTTTTGCCATTTCATTAGAAGTGGAAGTAGTCACCAGGGCCAGCCCAAACACAGCAGAGGGAAATACAACAGGCACGAATGCCATGAAACAGGGATCACTGGAAGCTATTTTAGAGACTACCTTCAAGTAGATTGATTGTGAAAACCATTAAATTGAATGCTAAGTTAAGCAGTTTGGTCTTCAGTGGTCAGAAAGAAAAGAACTGCTTTGTATTGATCCTATAATTCATAAGGTCTTACCTATATATTATAACTATAAATACATTTCTTTTTTTTTTTTTTTTTTCTGATATAGCTGTCTTAGGCATTACAATGCCTCGTTTGGCTGTGGAGTTGTGATATTTCTAATATCAAGAGAGGGTTTTCTCAAATGAGGTGGTATGCTCCCAGTGCTCTTGGGCCTGGCTTCATAGGGAAACCAGGCTATCACCCTGTGCTACTGGTGATCCAAACTTAAAATTTAAAAAGAGCAAAAGAAAAATATTTAGAAGTCCTACTACTGGACATTAGGTTACATTACACAAAACATCTGTCATATGTGTCTCTTAATGACATATGTGAGAAGTAGTTCTTCTTTGTTTTTGTATCTGTTTTAAAAGTTGCTTATTGGAATAGGAGTTTTTTTAAAATTAGAGGTTAGGGTAAGACCTATTATCATTTCTATGTGTCAGGAGTTAAACCCTTAGTTATAGGAGGTTGATAATACTTTATAAACATGGTAGAGTAAAATGAGATAATGTTTATCAAATGCTTTTGAATATCATGAAGCACTATGTGAATGTTAGGTTTTATCTTCCTTGAGTTATGTCTAGTTATCTACATAGCCCATATGAAAACCCGTGGTGTTATATTACTTAACATATAGGCTAACTCTTGTCACATATAGGCCCAGAATGTGTAACGGCTCACATACAGTAGAAAATTATTTCCTCATGTAAATATTTCCAGGAAGTTCAGGGTCTGTGTTTGTGTTAGGGAGTCCTGCTCTACACGGTCATTCAGGTATCCTGGTATATGGAGTTCTTGCCATCTGACATTGACTTTCTGGGCCACACTGGGCATAGAAATCCAGCTACTAGAGAAGAAGATAGAAAACCAAATGTGAGTCAGTTTTCACCGACCAGGCTGGAAGTGTGGTACACACCACTTTCTCTCATAATTAATTTATCACATTTAACTGTAGGAGGGGCTTAGACATATAGCCCAGTAATGTGCCTTAAGAAAAGAAAATTAGTTTGTTGAACATCGGAAATCTTTGACACAGGTGAGTAAGGATAAAGCTAGCTAATCTCTGTATGAAAGAAACTGAGTTAGGTAAAATTCAGGCCTGGGATAAAATCTAGAATCCCCATTATGCTATAGAAAAACATGTTATCTTCCCAAGGGATAAGTTATTAATAAAATCACACTCTTGAGGTCATTGGTTTCTTATATTTTTGATCACACACCTCAGTAAGTATATTTTGAGCATGCATTCTCAATATAATTTTATAATTTTTTTAAATTAAAAAAAATACTGTCATGTAAGTATACTGTGTGTTAGTACCACTATTTCAGTATATACTCTTGGCATTTGAATTATAAATACTTCAAAAAGAATACTGAAAATATTAAATAATTATGTAGTACATATGTTTAAAATAAGGTTTATTTACTATCAATATAAAGCCCTCTTTGCACTCATTAAGAAATAGAATTTTGGTAGTAGTTCATATTCTACAGTGTTTCCTCCAGTGAAATGTATGATCATTTCTTAGCTTTTTTGATACCTTCATCTTATAAAATTATCATATTTAAAAGCCTATTTTGAATATTTTTCTAGATAATTTAGTAAAAACATTTGTTGTACATGCTTAGTGTATTTAAATTTAGTATTTTTTATCACAGATCTCAAATGTCCCAAATGGAAGCCCACTTGACAAAAGGTAAAACATTAAAAAATATTCTTTTTCTAATCTTTTATCAGTTTATATACCTAAATGGCAAAATAGCCATTCTACATTCAGTATCATAAGATTCCTTGATTTGTATTTTTGCTTAAATATTGTACTCTTCAAAACTAATTTTAAATAGAAAATGTTTAAAACTGTAGATGTTGTCAAAGATCGACAGACTTGGATGCTGTGAAAATAGAAAATTTTAAGTGAAAAATTTAACTAAGGACTAGGTATGGTACAAAGCCACTTTCCAAACTCCAACATCCCCCCATCCTGAGCAACAATTAAATTTTCAGATACTGAGCAACTGAACATGATCCATTTCTTGTTAAAGATTTTATTTATTTATTTGAGAGAGAACACAAGTGGGGGGGAGGAACAAAGGAAGAGGGAGAAGCAGACTCCCTGCTGAGCAGGGAGCCAGATTGGGGGTTGGAGGATTTGATTGAAGGACCCTGAGATCATGACCTGAGCCCAAGGCAGATGCTTAACTGACTGAGCCACTCAGGCACCCCCAAATATGACGACCCTTTTTTAAAATGATTTTTGTATGAAAACAATTTTTATTTATCTTCAGGAAAGTACTTATGAGTGGGATATCTTACGTCATGAAGTCATGACCTCAATACATAAAACAACTAACTTAAATTTTTTTTTGCATTTCATTTTTGCTTAATCACTTTATATATATGCATATGCATGCACATAAAATAATTAAGTTTGTTGATTTATCCAATTAAATCTTACAGGTTCATAAGTAAGTGAGTCTGTTTGATTAAGCTGTTATGATTCACAGACATTTTCACAAACTAGTCAAGAAACAGCCTGAACCAGATAGATTAGTGGAACAGTAAGTTCTGTCAATAAGTTAGGTTGATCTTCAATGAGAATAAACTACGGCAGTGTTTCCTTTCAGTCATTCACTTGAATTATTGAGAATTCGAATTCAGTATACATGAGGCACTTATTCTTTAGTTATACATAGCTTAATATATAAAATTTTTAGCTTTGATTGCCACGCAGAGAAGAGGAAAGAATTATCTAGAAATGTGCATTTTTCTGCTTCATTACTATTTTTAATATTTCGGGATTACAGACCCAGATGAATTAGTAAGAATTAAGTAATAAATGTTGTGATTAAGGGCTAGAAGTTTTGAAAAGGCCCATTTTAATATCTGTAGTGATTGTATTTTTAAAAGTATGTTTTTAATATCTCAAGAGAAGACAGACATTTGTTGCTTTGCAAACTTATTATGGGTAGAGTTCTTGTCATTTATCACTTCACATTATAATTATATCTGGTCAGTATTATGAATATTTGAGAAAAGTTTTAAGTAATAAGTAGTCAAGTAATAAAAGTAATAAAAAGTATTAGTAAATACTTCAATTTCAATTGGAAATTAACCAGGTTATAAACTATAGAAATAGAAACAAAGCATGATACTCTTATATTCATGTTAGGATTATGGTAGATCATGGGATACTACTATAGTTTTTCTGTGGAAACATCATGAAGTGTAATAGGCTTTGAAAATGCTGGAAAGCTAATAATTTGTCACTGTTAACATGAAATAATAACTTTTCATAGAAGGTGTTTTAATATTGGACATTTAGTTGCTGCTGCTAAAGTTGATAAGTTGATACACTATATTTGTTGAATCTCAGGAAGTAGAAGTATTGGCTTAAACAAAAGTATTTTAAAGAGAATTTCTAGCCTCTATGAAGATAGAGTAAGGTAGTCTCGTTACTTTCTATGAGTTTTTGGAAAAATCTCATAGATGGGTTATGATAGTGTTACCATGAGTTACTACTCCTGCCAGCCCCCATTCTACTAGGCTGATAAGTCACAGTTAATGAGTAATATTGGGAAGTGGAAGAATGGAAGAAGGATTGGATGGGGAATAATGGACTAAGGATGATAGGGAATATAGGACACTGAGAACAGAAAAAGATAATAGAATGAATATAAAAAAAATTCTTCTTAAATGGCTTTTCACCCCGTTAGTGTTAATTCATATAATATTCCCTGACTTCAGTTGGAAGATTATTTCAATTCAGTTTAGTTCAAATAGGAAAATATGAACTGAATGTCTGTGCTGGGCAAGGCACTGTGCCAGATATTATGAGTATAAAGATGACAGCTGTATTATCCTTGCCCTCAATACATTAAATATTCTAGTAAGGCAGACAAAACATGTGCAAAAATAAGTGCAGTATAAATGCAGAAGATGCATTCTGTAAAAGGTTACCAAGAAGTTGCATCAAAAAGAAGGAAAAGTTGTTCCTGGCTGGACTAAGTGTAACAGCATTTAATTTAAGAAAGATAGGTGGTTTGGATTTTAACAGGGAAATATGAGGAACAGGTGTTACAGGTGGACTGAACAGTTGAAACGAAAACAACGGTGTTTAGAATCTATACAGTGTGCCAGGAAAAGACCAGTAATTTTTTTTTTTTTTTTTAGTTTAAACTGAGGATAAAAGGGAGATATGACATGAATCAGATTGTTTTAGCTTGATAGATTTTATAGAATTTCCCTTAATAGCTGTAGGTTGAATATTGCTAAATATAATAAAAAATCAAACTATTAAGCACATGGCACAATATTATTCATCAAACTTCATTTTGGGTTACTTCTTAGATCCTAATAGAATTTCTGAAATACTTTGGAAAAGTCTCCCAAACCTTCAGAGAGTGGATGGGAGCGAAGTAAGGAGATCCCACCTGAACAGACACGTGGTATTGATTACAATAAAGTACATTTTTTTTTTGCGCTTTACAACATTTAGTGATTTGTTTTGGTTAGGGAATGAGTTAGTGGCAAATATTTAATCAGACACAATAGATGTTAATAATTTAGTGTTTCACATCAAACGTGGTATTAGCTTTTCTTAATGTTTTATAGCATTGAAATTTACACTTTTTAGATATGAAAATGTAAACTGTTTCTTGGTATTTTAAGAGTTATGCATCCAACCTACTTCTTTATAAATCTTTTTTTTCTACAATTCTCCCCCCACAACACTAAGCACAAAAACATATACAAAAGAGGAAGTGTATTAATATGTATCCATTTCTTGCATAGATTAGATGATCAGCTATTAAATTTATTCATTCATTTATTCCCTAAACTCAATCATTCAACAAATATTCTCAGCTTCATATGCCAGGTACTCTTTTGAACATTGGGATTTACTGATAAATAACACAAATAAGCTTTCTTCTCTTGTGATGTTTACATTATAGTGGGGAAAACAGGCAGAAAAACAAGTGAGAATACATGAACAAGATAATTTTAGAGAGTAATAAATGAAGAGAATATGACTACCTTTCTGATAGGGAGTCATGGGGAAGGCTAATTTAGATTGGTGGTCAAGAAAGATATTTTGTATCAAGAAAAGGGGTTATTTAGTTATGAAATAAAAAAAACTTAACAATTTTTTGCCTCTTTACAGTTTTTACAAAATAAACTACACATGGAGATTTACCTTTCTAAAAACCCTAAAGGAGACTTTATAATTTCCTCAATTAATGGTTGTGCAAGAAACATATTACTTGTGGCCCAAGTTATAGACATTAGATTTTATAGAGGAAACCTTACAAACTAAGAAACAGTGAAGGGTGTAATAACTCCCGAGCTGCTGTTATTCTGCAAGGAAGTACATCGAATTCATCTTGGAAAGTGCACCTGAGGGGGGCTTGCTCGTCACATAACCCTACAAAATTATAGAGGAATTAGGAGGGACTAGAGAGCACCTAGTTAACCACGTAACAGTAAGAGATTCCTGCTTGGGCAATGGCCTTGTTAGAAAAAGGAAGCTACTGGAGGAGTAGGCATTTTGTATGTTAATGTAGCCGGTGTCAGTGAGAGCTATTTTTCCATTCAACAGTCTTGGTGAGCCAGCTCTGCCGAAACACCAGAAGGGAGAATGGAGAGAACCACCAGGGCCATGCCGCAACAGAGATTTGTCTTTCCTCTGTCTACTTCTTTGTCTGGGGGTCTCACTAATGGGTCATTCCATTAGCTCTGGCTGACACCTCGTATTGACCATAACAATTTCTAAAGTATTACCTGGGAGAAAGCTGCTAGTTGGGTCCCCTCCTCCCTGGGGTAGGTGTAGGTGCGAAACCAGCATAAATAAATAAATTCACACCTTATAAGTTTTACTTTCTGCACTGCCAAAGAAGGCTGTTTTGGAATATCTGTACCATACATGTACAGTGTCTTCAGTAAGAGAGAAATTTATTCATTATCTCCCTTGATATTCCCCCAAACATTTCCCAAGGTCAGACATGTTCACACCTGATAAACTGAGATCTGTTATTCCTTCTTGGAGATGAGCCAGCTTGTCATGTTTTTGGAGTGATAAATTCAGCAGGGACCCCAAAGTTACTATTTTTCTCTTAGAAGTCACCTGCAGGGTTAGAGGAGGATGTTTGCCAAAGAATCTGATGCAAAGACAATGTCCATCTTTTAAATGAGCAGTCTGCTTTGTCATTCATATATGGAGATCAAAGTAGGGAGTTAAAAAAAAAAGAATGGGAATATAATATTTATTGAAATAATCTTTTATTTCACTCTTTAGTTCCAAAGTACACTGGAGTTCAACCAATGCAGAGAGGTTCTTGCAGGGTATGGCAGCCTATAACTTATGAACAAGGGGAAGCTGGATTGACAAGCACTGTGGAGGTTGTTTTTAAAGACTGGCTTAGATGGCAAGTAGAATAGGCTCATTGGGCAACAGTGGCTTCTTTGTCTTTTGTATAAATTCCCTATTAAACATCTAGTTGCTTCATGGTGGGATAGATTGGAGATGGACCCAAGACCATAATAGACATGAAGATCATACATTCTTGATTGACCTTTTTATATCAGATATTTTCCTTTTAGGTTTGGTTTTTAGTTCCTTCTTGTGGGCATGTACACATGAAAAAAAAAAAAAAAGGATTGAGTTTGTTACTAAGTTGCTCTACCTATTTCCTTGGGTAGGAGGTGTCTCAGAAAAGTATGTGTATTTAATAGTTTTCTCCTGGGTAGCCTAATAGCCTGACCATGTAACTGGGCCATTAGCAATGGCTCATGAGTGTTTATAAAAGTATAATTCAAGAGTGTGCTCTGTGGCTATGAAAAGTGCCTGAAATTCACCTAATTTTGAAGAATGTCCAAATCTTTGGGATCTTAATAACTTACCATTATTCTGGTGGACAAATGTAGTATCTCAATAGATTTTATGACTTTTGAGAGAAACTGTTGGATCAGTGAATCATACTTTCTTGTCAGGTGGCATATCTTGTAGGCAAAGGTCTTACTAAGTCAATGGTTTGTTGTCCAGTGCACAGACATATTTTATTAATTTGACCAAGGTGCTACGGACCAGGATTGGCCCTTGATTGGATGTGTTAAGTCAGTTCCTTTTTCAAGAGAATTTTCTGGGCTTGTACCACCTTATGAAACTGGTTTAGAGAAGATCCATTATGGGGACAGGAATGTTTGTTTGAAAAGTGAGAAAATCTGCCCCTGTAAGGCCCAATAGTAATAGGCCAAGAGCCTGTGATAATTAGCAGTGGGAAAAAGGAATGAACTTCAAAATCCCAGGAACTGACAAATAATTTGAAGTATTGTCAAAATCATCATTCAGCAAAAGTTAGTTTACATGTCATGTACCTATAATCTGGTGAGTCTAAAGAATATGGCAGATAATAAAGTTAAAACTTGTTTTTGTGATGCCTGCAATTTTTCCATAGCTTCTTAATGTAAGAGCTTCCTTTTAAAATTAGTTATGTTGATGCAGATGCTTTGAAGAGTCACTTAGGTATAGATGTGATGTCTTCAGTACTTAAGGAAGAAAGTCCTTTGTGGTTGGGGCCTGCAGAGCTAATAAATTTTCTTGTAAAGTATATAGAATATTTATTTTTGATATTGTCCAAATAATGATCCCCTTCCCAAAATTTATTTGAACAACAGGGCCCTGGATTGTGTTGTCATTTAAAATTATCTTTACTCAGCATAACCTTTTCCAGTCCCGTCCATGTTGCTACAAAAGTTGGGTATTCATCCTTTCTGATGGAGGCATAATACTCCATAGTGTATGTACACCACATCTTCCTTATCCATTCGTCTGTTGAAGGGCATCTTGGTTCTTTCCACAGTTTGGCAACCGTGGCCATTGCTGCTATAAATATTGAGGTACAGACGGCCCTTCTTTTCACTACATCTGTATCTTTGGGGTAAATACCCAGTAGTGCAATGGCAGGGTCATAGGGAAGCTCTATTTTTAATTTCTTGAGGAATCTCCACACTGTTCTCCAAAGAGGCTGCACCAACTTGCATTCCCACCAACAGTGGAAGAGGGTTCCCCTTTCTCCACAACCCCTCCATCACATGTTGTTTCCTGTCTTGCTAATTTTGGCCATTCCAAGTGGTGTAAGGTGGTATCTCAATGTGGTTTTAATTTGAATCTCCCTGATGGCTAGTGATGATGAACATTTTTTCATGTGTCTGGTAGCCATTTGTATGTCTTCATTGGAGAAGTGTCTGTTCCTATCTTCTGCCCATTTTTTGATATGATTGTCTGTTTTGTGTGTGTTGAGTTTGAGGAGTTCTTTATAGATCCTGGATATCAACCTTTTGTCTGTACTGTCATTTGCAAATATCTTCTCCCATTCCGTGGGTTGCCTCTTTGTTTTGTTGACTGTTTCCTTTGCTGTGCAGAAGCTTTTGATCTTGATGAAGTCCCAAAAGTTTATTTTGGCTTTTGTTTCCTTTGCCTTTGGAGACATATCTTGAAAGAAGTTGCTGTGGCTGATATCGAAGAGGTTACTGCCTATGTTCTTCTCTAGGATTCTGATGGATTCCTGTCTCACGTTGAGATCTTTTATCCATTTTGAGTTTATCTTTGTGTACAGTGTAAGAGAATGGTCGAGTTTCTTTCTTCTGCATATAGCTGTCCAGTTTTCCCAGCACCATTTATTGAAGAGACTGTCTTTTTTCCACTGTATATTTTTTCCTGTTTTGTCGAAGATTATTTGACCATAGAGTTGAGGGTCCATATCTGGGCTCTGTTCCACTGGTCTATGTGTCTGTTTTTATGCCAGTACCATGCTGTCTTGGTGATCACAGCTTTGTAGTAAAGCTTGAAATCAGGTAACGTGATGCCCCCAGTTTTATTTTTGTTTTTCAACATTTCCTTAGCGATTCGGGGTCTCTTCTGATTCCATACAAATCTTTAATGAGATGTGCCTAGAAAATAAGTGTACTTCTTCAGTGTTGACCACTGTCTTCAATATACTAGAATGTCTGCAAATTGCTAACAGTTCATGTTGTGCCGGCTTTTTTTTTTTTTTTTTTTTTTTTTTTTTTGGTTTTTTTTATTTGAGAGAGAGAGAGAGAGAGGACAAGCAGGGAGATTGGGAGAAGACTCCCCCCTGAATGGGGAGCCTGATGATGGCCTGGATCCCAGGACACCAGGATTAGGACCTTAGCCTAAGACAGATTCTTAACTGAGCCACCCAGTGCCCCATTGTTTCATTTGGAATATCCAAGGAATTTAAATTCCAAGTCACCCTTGGCAGCAAAATCCCATTAACACTTATTCTTTGCAGCTTCCCCTGATTAGGATGATCCCTCTAGCATTTATGAAATTAAAACTTAAATTAAAGCATTTCACATCAATTTTTGTCATATATCCAGAAGAAGTAGTTACAAAATACAAAGCCATTTTAAAAATTCTTCTTTTTTACTCATTGCAAATTCATGCTAGCAATACAAATACCATTTATAAGGTTAACAGTAGAGCTGCAGGGAGATCCTAGCTGGAATTCAAGAAGAGTGTGATGCTATAGCAGTAGCAGATCTAGGTGAAGAAAAGACTAGAGTTTTCCCCATCCAACATTATCCCCCTTTAAACCTTACCTCCACCTTTTTCCCCCTTTGATTTATTTAAAGCTTTATTCTGGCACTAGGAACTGATTTAAACTTTTCTCTTCTACCTGGAGGAAAGAGTAACTACAAACTAGTTTTTATAGCCTTTGGTACATCCAAAGCCCACATTTGGGTATTTTTAGGTGCTTTATCCTTCCACTTGGAGGGAGAACAACAATCTGAAATATCACCTAGGCTGCATCTTTTCCCCTCATTTCACCAGAAAAGCAGCCAGGGTATCCAGCAGACCAATTTTCTTGGGGCTGAATGTATCCTTTTCAAATTCCATAGGTAACTTTTACCTCTCAGCTGCTATTTCATAACATAGGTGACTCCACAGCCATCCAAAGTTCATTGTATTCCATCCCAACCTTTCATAGCTCCTTTCCCCAAACAGTACTTTCATCATATTTTAGTGAGTCCAGGGGCCATTTTAGTGAATCCCACTTCTGATGGCAACTGTGTTGGGGGTTCCCAAGGCCATCCCTAGGTACAGTGATTTACTAGGATTACTTAAAGGGCTCAGCACATAGTCACTATCATGATATTATAGCAAAAGGATATGAAGCAAAATCAGCAAAGGGAAAAGGTATATGGAGCAAAGTTTAGAAGACCCTAGGTATAAGCATCCAAGAGTCCTCTCTTTCTGACAGCACATGAAACGATGTCTACCAGGTAAACTCATTACAAACTTAGTACCCAGGTTTTTTACTGGTGGCAGGTCATACAGATACCTGGTTCCTACCATGTACCAAAAATCCACATTCCCATGAGGAAAGCAGGTGTTCAGCGTGAACCACATTGTGCAGTTTGGGCAAAATGAGCTATCCTACTATCCTGCTAGGGATAGTAGGAACCCTAGCAACTTCCTAGATGCCAGCCATGGGCCAACTTTGTAATAGGCCTATTTAAGGATAAAAATCTCAGTCCTGCTATGTTAATTCCTTTTTACATACAATGTAAGATTGAGTAGTAAGTTTAGAATGCTTGATGTCTCGCTCTCTGGAGAGACAGAAAGGACACGGCTCCATCTCAGTTTGTTCTACTTGTGTAACTGTTAAGATCATTTCAAATTTTGTATCAGCCTGATAGTTTTCCTCCCTTCTGTTGCAAGAGAGTCCAGCCATAAAATCTCTTATCCATCCGATTTTCTTAAGTCCTTTTTAGGCTTTAATAATGACCTGTTAACTTTCAGTCACAATTTCTCTAGGTTTTTCTGACCTAGACTCTTTAACTTTCCTTTAGTAAGTAAGGTGCTGTAACTGCTTACTTATAAGCTTATTGCTCCAGATTTTTCTTTGGTAGCAAATCTGCTCCAGATTTATTTTTTTTTAAATTATTATTAACATAAAATATATTATTTGTTTTAGGGGTACAGGAATTTGATTCATCAGTCTTACACAATTTACACTGATTACCATAGCACATACTCTTCCCCAGTGCCCATCACCCAGCCACTCCATCCCTCTCATCCCCATACACTCCAGCAACCCTCAGTTTGTTTCCCAAAAGCGAGAGTCTCTTATGCTTTGTCTCCCTTTCTGGTTTCTTCTTGTTTCATTTTTCCCTCCCGTTGCCTATGATCCTCTGCCTTGTTTTTCAAATTCTGCGTATCAGTTAGATCATATGATAATTGTCTTTATTTTTATGATTTCATGAATATATTTATTATTTATTTTTAAAATTTTATTTTACTTTTTCAGTGTTCCAAGATTCATTCTTTGTGCACCACACCTAGTGCTCAATGCAATATCTGCCCTCCTTAATACTCACAACCGGGTTCACCTGTCCCCTAGCCCCCTCCCTTCCAAAACCCTGTTTCTCAGAGTCCACAGTCTCTCATGGTTCCTCTCCTCCTCTGATTTCCCCCAATTCACTTTTCCATTCCTTTGCCTAATGTCCTCCATGTTATTACTTATATTCCACAAGTAAGTGAAACCATATGATAATTGACTGTCTCTGCTTGACTTATTTCATTTAGCATAATCTCCTCCAGTCCCATCCATGTTGATACAAAAGTTGGGTATTCATCCTTTCTGATGGAGGCATAATATTCCATTGCATATATGAACCATATCTTCTTTATCCATTCATCTGTTGAAGGGCATCTTGGTTCTTTCTACCTGGAGAGAGAAAGAGCTTCCAAGACTGGCAAGGTTTAAAAGAGTATGTTGACCACCAAGCCAGCACTACAAGAAATATTAAGGGGGGGGTTCTATTAAAGAAGAAAGAACCCAAAAGTGACATTGATTGATTTGCCAATGTTGAACTACCCTTGCATCCCAGGGATAAATCCCACCAGACCTCCTCTTGATCCTTCTATCAGTTTGTCTTCTAGATCACTAATTTGATCTTCTGTCTTGGTTACCCTTGCTGTTAGAGTATTTAGATTAGATAGGATCTCACTGATAGTATTTTTTAGTACTGTCAGATCAGCCCTCACTTCCGACCTTAGAGTTTTTCTATGTTGCCACTAATGGTTTTCTCCAACCTAGCCATTGCCTGGATAATTTTTTACCCTGAATTCCCTTTCTAACATGCTGTTTATGTCCATATCCAATAGTGCTGTGGCAGAGGGCACAGTCTCTGAATTTTTCCTCTGTTGGGTTTTCCTCCTCCTCGCTATTTTGGTGAGAGGTGGTTGAGGGGATGTATAGCTGAATATATCAACCATGATCTAGGCAAGGTGCACCCTGGAAAGTTTCAGAGCAATTAGAAGTCACCACCAAAAAGAAAAAAGAGAAAAAAAGGAGAAAACCCAGCCAAAATGAACCCTAAGAATAAGAGAATAAGATTTATAGAGTACAAAGTACAAAGTATAAGATTATGTAGTACAAAAACAAATACACAGAAACACTAACAGATGTGGGTGAGGAAGGTTATTTTGGTTCTTGCTGGGTGAATCTTGTTATTTTTGTTAAAGGACTCAACTTTCCAGAGATACAGGGAAATTAAAAGTGGTTCATATATAGGGGTAGTATTGAATAGGGGAAAAGGATTACCTTGAAACTTATATCTATATGTATATATAAAAAAAAAGAAACAGGTATATGTATGAAAAGAATTCAACTTAAAAATGTTATTATGGAATATGTTGTATTAAACCTTTAGTTGTAATGTTAAGTAAGGTTAAAAAAATTAAAAGAACAAGAATTGTGAGAATGAATTAAAAAAAAAGTTTTGTCTATGAAATGTACAGGTTTTGGGGCAATACTGGGAGCTTAATATATTGTTTTCCCCTGATGTTGGGGTTTTACAGTTTTACTTACGGGGACTCTGTGGTTATTGTCCTCTTGTTCTTTTGCTTGTCTTCTGGGGGAGGGGCCTGCCACATTGTTTTTTAGTCAGTCCTGCTTGGGCTGAGTTGCCCTGCCCCCTTTCAAGGGGCTGGGCTCTGTGGAAACCATTTTTTCCAGCTTTTGCTCTCTGGAGGTTTTGTTCTTTGGCAACTTTTTATGGCTTTTTTGGAGGGTCAGAGCAAAGAATCTGTCTGCACCCAGACCTCCACCTCAGATAGAAGCTTCAGTCTGCTCCCCTCTGGGTGGTCCAGAATGCATAGACTCCCCCTCTGCAAAACTCTGCTGAACACTGCAGCCTTCCACAGGTGTTGCGCACCTGTGGTCTCCTGAGGCCCCCGCTTGTCTCTGAAAACTCCTGTGCCACTAAAACTGTGAGCGATATTGGTCCAGGCAAGCCTGAACTGGGGTGACTACCCTTGCCAGGACAGCTGTCTGGGGTCCACCCCCTGCCCGGTGCACTCACACCAGGCAGAGGCACAGGCCGTGGAAGGCTCCGGGCTGGGGGACCTTAGCCAGAGTTCATGCCTGGTTCTCTCAGGTATTGGGGGGGAGTGCACTCAGTCCCCGTGGTCACACAGTTCACAGAAGGCTGTGGACTGAAGGATCCTGACTGGTCTTCCCGCCAGACTCTCTCAGGCATGGGCAGGAGTGCACTGAGCCCGAGTGGTGGTGCAAGCACCAGAAAGCCACAGGGTCAGGGACTACAGACGGACCCCCCGACAGACTCTCTTTGGCACAGGTGGTCATGGGCGGTGACCGTCCTGGGTCCATGGGCTTAGGACCATACCTGTGACTGCCTGATTCCACCAGTTGCCCCTTAAGATTTTTTGCTCTTTTTGAGTACTTTTAACCAGACTCAAGTTAATGCTTGTCCTCAACCACAGGGCACTTTCATATTGGGGTGTTACTTTCCAATGGGTCACTTCTGTTGGATTCCTCCCCCTTCTTTCTAACTTCTGATATCAGTCTGAGCGTTCCCACTCTGCTTTACCTCTCCACTGATGTCTTCTGTCCCCGTAGAGATCCAGAAGTGTATAATCTGACATCTCAGGCTGATTTCATGGGTGGTCAGAGTGTTCTGGGAGATAAATAGCTCACTTTAGGGGACTGGTTGAAACAGGGTCTCCTATTTCTCTGCCATCTTGCCCCTGAGGCCATAATTGTCTTTCTCAAATTAACTTATTTTGCTTAACAAGGGGATAAAATGAACTATTGGAAATTACAGATGTTGATGAAGATGTGGAGAAAGAGGAACCCTCCTACACTGTTGGTGATAAAGCAAGCTGGTATAGCCAACCTGGAAAACAGTATGGAGGTTCCTCAAAAAGTTGAAAATAAAGTTACCCTACAACCCAGCAATTACACTACTGGGTATTTACCCCAAAGATTCAGATGTAGTGAAAAGAAGATACATTTGTATCTTTCATTTCCAGATTTGTTAATTTTAGCTATTCTGACTGGTGTGAGGTGGTATCTCATTGTGGTTTTGAGTTGTATTTCCCTGATGCCAAGTGATGTGGAGCACTTTTTCATGTGTCTGTTGGCCATTTGGATGTCTTCTTTGCAGAAATATCTGTTCATGTCTTGTACCCATTTCTTGATTGGATATTTTGTTCCTTGGGTGTTGAGTTTGATAAGTTCTTTATAGATTTTGGATACTAGCCCTTTATCTGATATTTGAAAATATCTTCTCCCATTCTGTTGGTTGTCTTTTGATTTTGTTGACTGTTTTCTTTGTTGTTCAGAAGATTTATCTTCTTGCTTCCCTTGCCTTTGGTGATGTGCCTAGGAAGAAGTTGATGAAGCTGAGGTCAAACATATGCTGCCTGTATTCTCCTCAAGGATTTTGATGGATTCCTGTCTCACATTTAGGTCTTTCAACCGTTTTGATTCTATTTTGTGTATGGTATAAGGAAATGGTCCAGTTTCATTCTTCTGTATGTGGCTGTCCAATTTTCCCAACATCATTTGTCTAAGAGACTGTCTTTTTTCCATTGGCTATTCTTTCCTGCTTTGTCAAAGATTAGTTGACCATGGAGTTGAGGGTCCATCTCTGGGTTCTGTATTCTGTTCCATTGATCTATGTGTCTGTTTTTGTACCAGTACCATACAGTCTTGATGATTATAGCTTTTTAATAGAGCTTGAAGTCTGGAATTGTGATTCTACCAGCTTTGCTTTTCTTTTTTCAACATTCCTCTAGCAATTTGGGGTCTTTTCTGTTTTTGTACAAATTATAGGATTATTTGTTTCATTCTTTGAAGAAAGTTGATGGTATTTTGATAGGGATTGCATTAGGTGTATAGATTGCTCTAGGTAGCATAGACATCTTCACAATATTTGCTTTTCTAATCCATGGTCATGGTACATTTTTCCAT